GTAATGGTCTGGTTCTGGTCCAGGTTTAAGAACGGTCAGGGCAGTGGGCTGGACGGCGGCCATTACCGGGTTTACGTCAACGGCACGCTGGAGATCCGCCGCGCGCGTCCGGAGGACGAGGGAACCTACACCTGCGTGGCCAGCAGCATCCTGGGGAAGGCCGAGAACCAGGTCCGGCTGGAGGTCAAAGGTCAGGCATACACAAACACACACAGACTCACACAGACACACACAGACGCACAACTCCACCCTCAGAACGCCTGTCTGAACTTGGGTAGAAAAGTAAACGGCAAAATTGAATTACATTTACACAAATTAATCTTATCTGACGCACAAAAAAAGCACACAAACATCCACATAGACGCACACAAACGCACACAAACATCCACATAGACGCACACAGACTCACACGGACACACATAGTCACACACAGACGCACACAGACGCACACAGACACACAACTCCACCCTCAGAATGCCTGTCTGAACTTGGGTAGAAAAGTAAACGGCAACATTTCATTATGTTCACACAAATTAATCTTATCTGACGCACACAAACACACACAAACATCCACATAGATCCATAGAGACGCGCAAAGACCCACAGAGACGCACACAGACGCACACAAATATCTAAATAGACGCACACAGACGCACATAGACATCCACAGACACACACACAGACACACACAGACACAGCAGCATCCTGGGGAAGGCCAAAAACCAGGTCCGGCTGGAGGTCAAAGGTCAGGCACAGCACGGAGGAGCCCTTAAACTTGTCTGTAGAAAAGCAGACGGCAGATTACAATTCTGTTGCCATAATGCCAAACACAAGGGGAAAAAAAAGAAAAAAAAAAAGAAAAGCAAAATGGCATTATGTTTGCACAAATTAATCTCATCTGACGCACACAGACGCACACAAACAATCACATAGACGCACACAGACACACACAGATGCACACAGACTCACACAAACATTCACACAGACGCACACAGACTCACACAGACACAGCAGCATCCTGGGGAAGGCCGAGAACCAGGTTCGCCTGGAGGTCAAAGGTCAGGCACAGCACGGAGGAGTTCAGGCTCCAGGCTCAGAAACCCATCACACACAGACGCACACAGGCGCACACAGACGCACACAAATATCCAAATAGATGCACATAGACTCACACAGACGCACACAGACACACGCAGACGCACAGACGCACAACTCCACCCTCAGAATGCCCGTCTGAACTTGGGTAGAAAAGTAAACGGCAACATTTCTTTACGTTTACACAAATTAATCTTATCTGACGCACACAAACGCACACAAACATCCACATAGATGCATAGAGACGCACAAAGACCCACACAGACACACACAGACGCACAAAGACCCACAGAGACACAGCAGCATCCTGGGGAAGGCCGAGAACCAGGTCCAGCTGGAGGTCAAAGGTCAGGCACAGCACAGAGGAGCCTTTAGGCTCAGAACGCCTGTCTATAAACGTCAAAATCTCTTTATGTTTACACAAATTCATCTTATCTGACGCACAATGACCCACAGAGACGCACAAAGACCCACAGAGACGCACACAAATATCTAAATAGACGCACACAGTGGGCAAACCTGCAAAATCAGCAAGGGGTCAAATACCTATTTCCCCCACTGTATATTCCTAGGACACAGATTTGAACCTCTACTGGGACTTTCACCTTAAACAGTTCAGATAGACGACTAATAACGTCCCTCCAAAACTCCTGGACTTTAACACAATCCCTCAGAGGGTGGAGAAGAGTTCATTTTCCAGGCTCATTCCCTTCTTATTCCTCTCTTCCTCTCCTCCCCAGAGCCCACCCGGATCGTGCAGGCCCCAGTGCACCAGTCGGTGGTCCGGGGCTCCACCGCCCGGCTGGACTGTAAGGTGAAGGCCGACCCCAGCCTGCCCGTCTCCCTGGATTGGACCAAGGACGACAACCCCCTCAGCCTGGGCTGGAGGTAAAGCTAACACAGAGAGTCTGGGGTGGAGGTAAAGCTAACACAGAAAGTCTGGGGTGGAGGTAAAGCTAACACAGAAAGTCTGGGCTGGAGGTAAAGTTACTGCAAACAGATGGGATGATCAGAACACATGCACGAATCTCAAATATTAACCCTGTAATGCCAAACGTATCATATTTGATTCATACGGTTTCTGAAATGTTTTGCGTCTGACTCCTTTTGCATCATTTAATGGTAAAAACTTTGCTCATTTTGTACACATTCAGATATACCTGATAACAGGGGGCAGAAGATACACAAAAAATAATCTTGACCTATCGCATAATAATAAATAATTTTTTTCTGTTCTTTTAATGATACTAAACTATGGATTCGTCAATTTAGCATTTACTTGAATAACTACTTAATTTTTTTCTGTTATTTTAATGGAACAAAACTATGGATTGATCAGTCTACCACCCTGAAAAGAGTTGACTTCCCACCTGAACGATAAAAGTGATAAACCCTGCTGAGATGTGGCTGCAAACGGCTGAACATCCGGATGTTTTCCGTGTGTTTCCAGGCTGAAGAAGAGCGAGGACGGGCTCACCATCCCCAACGTGAACGAGGGGGACGAGGGGAAGTACACGTGCACGGTCCGGTCCGAGATCGACCAGGACTCGGCCTCCGCCCGCCTCACCGTGTTAGGTACCTCCCACCGGGGGGAAAAGAGGAGGAAACCACCCCCCCACAGATATTCACCATCATACTGAAAGATATGCAGATACTGCACCATCATACTGAAAGATACTCAAATACTGCACCATGATACTGAAAGATACTCCAATACTGCACCATGATACTGAAAGATACTCAAATACTGCACCATGATACTGAAAGATATTCAAATACTGCACCATGATACTGAAAGATA